GACGGTGAAGAAACAAAAGGGGGCCCCCCCCCCCCCCCCCCCCCCCCGGAACTGGGGTTACAGGCAGTTATGAGCCATGTAGGAGCTGGGAGCCAAACTCTCATCTTTTGTAAGAGCAGTAGGTGCTCCTAACCATTGAGCCATCGCTCTAGCTCACATTAAGTTGCTTTGAATTTTCACATACAAGTCTTCACTTGCTTCCAGATAATTAGAGGTGGAACAGCTGGATATATGGAATTTTTAAGAAATGGTCAAACTTTTCTAAAGTGGTGTGACCATTTTGCGCTCCCATCAGTAGGACAAGTGAGTACGGATTCGCACTTCCCTCCAACATCTGTATGGCATCTCTTTCATGTTAGACATCCCAGGAGCTTCTCCTTTCCCCGCCCCTTTGCCTATGTGGGGGAAAGGGTACCAAGTAAGGACATGGCGTGAGCATGTAGGAAGCAGAGGACAGGAGACAGCTGGCTCCAGATCAGCAACAGAGATACTCTTCTGGTCTGTGCTCTGGAGACAGCCCTGTCCTGAGCATTTCCCCATGGGCCACCTGTCGCACGTTAGCTTCCTGCCTTCTGGGCCAGGGATCCACACATGAGGCAGAAGGTTCTCCTATTGTCTCCTCCACGTAAAGCAGAAAGCGGGGAAGGCAGGATAAGTAGGTACAATCCCTGCCCAGGGACCTCATTTCTCTGATCCCTGGGAGAAAACACAATGGACCACAGGGCAGGGTAGGGACACAGTCCAAACTCATTCTAGAATGACAGAGGCAGTTTGTCCTGCTTAGGAACCCATCCTGTCCTGCCTGAAGAGAAATAATCCCCTCCTACTAATTTGATCAATATATGTAATTTGTATAAAGGAATGAAGACTGTTGAAAGCAGGTCAAGGCCTCCCAGAAATTAGGACCAGTCAAACCCATTGTGAAAATAATGGATTTTTAGTCAGAGCTAACACCGTCACCAAGTCAGCTACACATTCCAAGAGAGCATGCAGGTCAACTGTGATGCTATGCTTGGGGAATCAAGCGTTTACAACCCTAAGGTAAGAGTGAGAAAGAGCCGAGAGCACCTACCTGTAGCTGCCGGGAAGAACACCCCAAACACAGTGAAGAAAGACTCCCCAGGGCTGTACTCTGGCAGAGTGTTGCTCTCTAGCAGTTCTGGGGAGTATCCAATAAAGCCATGTTCTGAAAGGACATGAAGGATGCAAACTGGGCTGAGTGACCAGGAACTGCACAGTACCCAAGGAGATAGCATTCATTGTTTAAGCATGGCAAATATTTGTTTCTTTTTGAGACAGTGACACACTCTGTAGCCCACGCTGGCTTAGAACATACTGTGTAGTCTGGGCTACCCCCAAATTTACTGTGATTCTCCTGCCTCAGCCTCCTGAGTTTCTGGGATTATAGGCATAAGCCACCACGTGCAGGCGCAGGTGTGTAATACTGAACATTCAAAGGCAGGGTGTGGCAACAGAAAGAGAGACTTGGAAGACTGACTTGTGTATCTGTACCTACAGCTATACAGGGATGACATGGCATAGAGAGCAGTGGTTAGCTCAGGGCACGGAAGACTTCATCTTTGCTTTATAGATTTCAGAATGGCGACAGCATCTTTCAATGAGGGTATATTTACGCGATTGCTTTCCATAAAAACAAATGCCTGCTTGGAAACCTCCCATTGGCTCCCCTGGGAGCCAAAGAATAAAGTCCAGACTCCTTAAGTTGAACATCAAAGTTCCCCACGACATGGAAACAGTCTGCCTTGTCTCCTTCACCCTTTACCTCTTCTGTGTGTCCATTGGGATCATGTTCCCTGCCCTACTGCCCCTCTCTCTGAGAATCAATTTTTTTTTTTTTTTTTTTTTGAGAACGGTCTAAGTTGCACAAGCTGGGTTCTGATCTAATTCTGGAGCCCAGTACTGCAGTGCCCAGATTATCAGCTAAGCTTTGTTCCCGGCCTTAACCACAGCCCTTGCTTTAAAAACACTTGTTTTAATTTTATTTATGTGGATGCATCTGTGTGTACCCATGGAGACCAAAAGAAGGCATAGGGTCCCCTGGAGCTAGAGTTATAGACACCTGATGTGAGCTAGAGTTGTGAACCACCTGATGTGGGTGCTGGAAACCAAACTCAGTTCCTCTGTGGCAGCAGTACTGACTCTTAATCACCAAGTCATCTCTCCAGCCTCTCACCCACAGTTCTTGAGGTGAGAAATCCACTCCGGCACACCTCTGCTCTCCCTGGCACACAATAGGTAGGTTGTAAATAGGCCTCATCACTCTTAGATCTCTTAGCTCAGGGGCACACCACCCTCCCAGGCTTCCTGCTACGCTCAGTTCACAAGCTACTTTATATCAAGAACATCTAACATCTGAATTCTTCAAAGTATTTTTAATACATTTGCACATTGACCTTAACAAAGCTTCTTAAGTGCCTTCAATCCACTTTGCTTCTTTGTCAAAAGAGGTCACTTTGAACAGCATGTGCGGATGTACTAGCAGGCCGTGAATTCGGAGACACAAGTAGAATGTTCTTGGCTCGGGGACATCCAGGATATTCGGCTTTGCCTTTCAGCCTTGTTCCCCAGAACTAGCTAGCTTGTGTCTATGAACTGCTGTCCCCACCCCACCATCACACACCCACAGCTTGGGGACAGAGTCCTCCAGGAGCCTTGCCCCACCCCCACCTACCTCAAAGCTTCCCCCATAAAGAGAGCTCCCTGGTCTCTGATGGCTCCCAGGTGGCCATGTGCTTCCTCAGCTTCCAAGAGTCGTAACTTCATAGGAAAAATATTCTTCAAGAAAATAAGAAACTGGAAGCTCAGGGAAGCACAGAGAGCCTTGGGGAGTCCAGTCCGGACTTTCAAATCATTGTCAATTGCTTTCTCTTGGCTGACTATAGACTTTGTTCTGGCATATTAAATCCCAAGTACTGCACCAAGTTTCTGAATGGCTTGGCCTCCTTGCAGCTGGTCCTCCCCTCATCAACAAAAAGCAATAACAAGCTAAGTTAACTTTAGCTTACCCGCTGGCTGACCCCATTGACTAGTCTTCCTGAGGAGAAAACCAGGCAGCCTGCCTTGGAGCTCAGCTCAGCCAGGCTGGGATGACGTACATCTGCTCCAGGGCTGTGCACCCTGAGCCGGCCAGCCCACAGCACATAAACACCTCATTCCACACTGTTCACCTCCATGGCCTCAAAGGAGGCCTTCAGACAGGAAGGGTTTGGTTCCCTGGCCTAAAGGCTTTGCCTGGTCAGCTTGCAGGCTCAAAGGCATTTTAGTCCCTTAGTGGTGTCAATGGGAAAATCTTCTCACCTCTCCCCCTCACAACATCTATGGGGCAGGAGGAGGCCTCAGATGCTGCCACTCTCGGCTCCAATGACATATTATTCATAAGCACACACTCACAGTGACTCACTTAGAAGCATACACTAATACACATCTCCCCAGCACAGACACTGACACGTTCGTTCACAAGCACACATTACATCTGCGTACACACACGCACAGGTACACACTCATACCTATACCCAAGGATATTTCACAAGCGCACATTCACACTGGCCCATTCACACATACACTTACATATGCACATGAGCGTGTGTGGGCACACTCACACCAACACACCCACAAACACAGGCACTGGTACACACTCTCACTGACACACTCAAAATCCTGCTACCCTGGCCCTCTGCCCTGGGCTAAGTCTTGTTCTTAGCCTTCCTCAGGGGAATGATCTTACCTTTGAAAAGAACTTTATGAGCAAAGATAATTGTCATTTTTTTTTTTTTTACAAACAGGTAACCCCAGGAAGCTGAGACACAGGATTAAAAATTCAAGGGTTACAGAATGAAACTTTGTCTCAACATATATTGTTTATTTAAACAAACAAACAAATAACTGTGGACTGAGCGTATAGCTCAGTATCGTACTCTTGCTTAGCATGCATGACGACAGACATCAGAGCCAAACACCACAGGACTTAGTATCATAGAAAACTGACATGCTGTGGTGGTTTGAAAGAAAATGGCCCCAAAAGGAGTGGCACTATTAGGAGGTGTGGCCTTGTTGGAGGTGTGGTCTTGGTGGAGGAAGTGTGTCACTATGGGGACGGACTTTGAGGTCTTTTTCTCAAGCTTCACTCAGTGTGACAGTCAGTTGACTTCCTGTTGCCTGCAACAGTTCCAGCACTGTGTCTGCCTGCACACCACCAGGCTCCCCGTCATGAGGATAATGGACTGAACCTCTGAAACCGTAAGTGAGACACCTCAATTAAATGTGATCTTTTTGTTTATAAGAGTTGCCGTGGCCATGGTGCCTCCTCACAAATAGTAAACCCTAACTAAGACACATGCCATAATGGTATCTAGCATGCTCATTTAAATAAATAAATAAATAAATCTTCCCATGTTATAAATACTAAAAATAAATTTATATGTACATATAAGAAAAATCTATGCCAGGCCTAGTGGTGCACACCTTTAATCCCAGTACTCAGGAGGCAGGGGCGGGTGGATCTCTAAGTTCGAGGCCATCCTGGTCTACAGAGAGAGTTCCAGGATAGCCAGGGCTACACAGAGAAGCCCTGTTTCGAAAACCCAATATATATATGGAAACATACCCAAATACTGTGGTTGTCTATATAAATAATTATATCAGTTCTCATTCTCTCTGTCTCTCCCTCCATCTCTCCCTTCTTCCTTGAGATTTCTCTCTCTCTTTCTCTCTCCTTTCCTCCCTTTCTTCCTTTGTCCCCAAATAGATTTCATTATGTAGTTCAGGGTGGCCTGAAATTCAACATCTACCTGTCTCAGCCTCCCCAGTGCTCAGATCACTGGCACTCATCATTGTATCCAGCGATTCTTTTCCTTCAAAAATTTCCCGTACATTAAAAAATGAGGGTACCCACTTATCAAAAACCTGGATCTTTTAGGAAAATAAATGAACCCCACATGAAGGCCCAGTGTCTTCTGGGACATTCCAGATGTGCCACCTTCTTTCCTTCCTTGTTCACCATACATGCTTGTCCTGCTTCTCAGAACAATTTAGTGGTTTATGAGAAGATCATAAGCAAGCTAGAATGGATAGCATTTAAAAAGGAGGGGCTTGATAAGGCTTGGAAGTGAAATATGCAGCCATGTCCTGAGACTAGAATTCAGGGCCTAAGGAGATAAACTATGATTGTTTTGAATAAGCTTACAGGAGCAGGGCATTAGGCCATTTTCACTCAGATGGAAAGGAATGTCTGAGGCTAGCCTTACTTCCCACAGCCCCATCTCCCAGTCCTCTGTGACTCTTACCCATCCTAATTCCCCTTCTTTTTCTCTTAGGGCTCCAAATCCTGGGCCAGCTGCTACAGAGGCTGCCACACTGCCTCCCTCACAGAGAGATGCAGGTGACACAGATTCCTTTTCAGTTCCAGAAGCCAGTGTCTCCCTCATCGGGGAAAGACAGGCAGATCCTGTGGAGCATCATCGCAGGTCAGGGCTACCTAGGAGACAAGGGCCAACAGAGCTGGGGGCATGCACAACGCTGTTGGGACTCAAGCTCTGTTTGCATCAGTTTCCAAATCACTATGTTGTCTCACTGTATTTTATCCTAAAGGGCTTTGGGGTTCTGTTTTGCAGGACTAGGGTGCTAGGCAAGTGTCCTAGTCTTAAGCTACAGCCCCAACCTAAGCGTGCTTCCTGCAGCCCAAATGTTATTTGCTTGCTGCAAAATCTGGGTCCTGTCAGCTGCATCTCCAACTCTGAAGAGCCTGGGATGCTGAGGACCTGCAGCTGCTGTGTGTGAATGCGTCTGGGCTTGACCTGAACATCTGCTTCTGTATCCTCTGAGTAAAAATACTCTGGGCCCCTCTGAGCTGTGCACTTTTTAGGAAGGCCAAAAACAGAACAGGGCAGGGGAAGAGAGAACAAATTGTCACAAGTCCAGGCAGGAAGAGGCAGAGGGGTGCCCTTGAAGGCCTGTGTGTAGAAGGCCTTACATATCCCCAGAATGGGGTCATTCCCATGATGATGTCACTAGACTACAGTCCTTGGAGGCCTCGTGTTAACTCATGGAAGCCCTCCTCAAACTTTCGAAAATGTCTTCAGCTTCGGTCACAAGTAGTGACAAGAGGCAGCTCTGGGTATCGATGTTAGTTGCCCAGGCTCACAGATCCAGCCAGCCTGGTACAGCGGCTGC